ATTCCTTTCGGAAGTTTAGTATATTATTCAAAACAACACAATTTTCAAAAATAGCCCCCATTACAGAATACTAATGTATGTATAACATGACACCAAGCAATATATTAAGTTCAGGAAGACGGAAAAGTGTTTTATTACTAATTAAAAAACCTTCTCATACAAAAGTGTTATTACGTAATAGAAGATTTTATGAAAGACGAAAAACCTGATCTCTCTATATTAGCTATATTAAAGTTGTCGGTATCGCTGGAATATACGCGAAAGGACTGTACTGGCACTGCTTTTTGTCACATATGTTATACCATGTTTAAAGTAAATAAACGACAAACTTTACGGTAATTTTGTGTTTACGCGCTCCAACAACTTTTCTTTAACTTCAACTTACATAGATACTGTACTTATCGCTAACTGGGTCGTACAACAGAAGTTCACGAAACGTACAGTTCAGCCGGGTAATGTAAATAATGTCAAAATATACTTTTGGCATCATTCGTTCCCCCAAAAACAAAGGACCTTTTCGTCAAAATCTGACAATGAACCGTAATATAAGGAAATAAAAAATATAAAACACGTTTTTATTGTAAAAAGCTCATAATCATCGAATGTTATGGTGAGCAAATTCTTTTTTCTTTTTTTATTATAATAGTAATAACTGATCGCGTGCCTGCTGATAAGCGACACGCCTATTCATACCAGTTGCAGAGCCGCTCTACGCTTTAATTCGCAAAGATCTGATAGCGCCCGTCGCCCTAAATAAGTCCCACGTGCCCGTAATTTTATCAGAACCCTGTAAAACCGGAACACAGTAATGCTCACGTTACTGCATGGTGGCAAGATTAGGCAATGTGGCAGTACTTCCCTGGACGAACTGTTTCACAAGGACCTCTACCGCTACTAATTATATTATACAATATAAATCATGATTATACTCGTATGTTACGTCTACATTATGAGAATACATCTATAAACGACCTCGTTGACCCAATAGTTTGCACAGTGGGCTCTAATGCGGATACCCCAGGTTCGATTGCCGGTCACCGAGATAAGTGGTGCGTCTTAACGGGATCCACGAGCCAGCACCGGTGGATAGTGTGCATACACAGATTTTTAGTAGGTAGGTCTCCGATGATTCATCGGGCGAGCTCGTATTGTCGCGTGGCTCCGCGAAGGAGAGTTCCACATAATCCCGCCATGTCATCGTTGGCTCTTTCAGGTTGCTTCTGTATGTACATTTAAATTAGTATATTAATTTTAAAGACCAACCCCTAGAGTTACTTGATCATTCTTCTCAGGGGAATCTGCCTTACGAAAGTGACGATTTCAAGTGTTAATTTTCCCCCTGTTCCCGGTAGTCTTACCCAGTAGTCTTACCAGGGGGCCAATCGCGCTATTTTCGCAAGGTTTAACCTTACAACATTTGAGGTTATGGTTTTGGTTAATTAATGGTTCTACCGACGCACAAAATGCAATCGCGCTATCAGTTTTAATGAACCTAAACCTCAGTTAAACCTCAAACTATAACCTCGTATTAAATTTTAAGAGACGTGCCTTGACTTCCTAAAACCGACTAAATTTTACCGTAAAACGCACTGAAATGTCAATATCTACGAATTCAAGTCTATAAAAGAGCGATTTAAAAAAGTGTGTAAAAGAAATGTCAATAAATTCTATTGTAAACAAACATATGAGTTGTCATTTGAACCAAATTAATTGAATTTAGTGTGTTGTTGTTGTAGATAAAACACACAGAGGTAAGTACCTACACATTGTTTTCCTGTTTTAATATTCTATTTAATAAAATAGTATCTTTTTATACAATCAAATAGGTACGCTAACTACTATTAATTTCGAAATGTTAGCAATGTAGAATTAATAATGATGCTCGTATTTCAGCCAATGTGGATGCGGTCGGACGGCGAGCGACCACTGTAAGCCAGCTCCATCTTTGCTGGAGTTCGAATCGCACAGAGATTTAGCTTGAGAATGACTTCGCTCGGCGTTGTTCGCGCGTGTTATCAGCACGCCTTTGGTGCGAGTGTGTGGCTATTTTGTGGCCCCGCAATAGATCCCAAAAGGTGAGTCATAATGAGAGGTAATAGGATACAGTGAATGGATCACTCACCCTTATTGTACCAGAACTCATATCACTATAATATGCAATGTTATTATTTGTTATTCAGATATGGAATGGTATGAAAAGCAGGGTGAGAATCTACGCCACATCGACTGCGGCAGAGGACCTACCAACCTTCCTAAAGGACACCAACTCTAGCACTAAGTAACTAAATAACTTCAAACATACAATTCCATAACAAAGTAACTTTCTCACTCTTTTTTATTAATTAAAAAACAAAGTAACTTTCAATTTGAGCAAATTCTTTCCCACTCTTTATTACATCACATCTATTATTTCGTTGGCAGCGAGCTGATGAGCGTTGGAGCAGAGCCGGGTAGAATTCTTATGCATTGAGAAGCTGCGAGCATGCGAAGCATTCTTGCAGCAAGTGAATGCTGGCAGGGTGCAGGCTGAGGCAGCTATTATTTCTGTCAAAACAGATGATCTGCATGCCCAATCCGTAGCTGCTATTTGCAAAGCAATTACCGAGTTGGTGCCTGCAGTTAACCTTTTTGATAGAATATTTAACAAGAATGACAGGTTTGTTTTCAACATGTTTTCTTAATTCCTGCTGATGATATGTTCAATTGTGGAAATCTGAAAGAGCGTAAGGAACGAAGGTCTAATCTGTAGACTTTTGTCCCCTTTATATTTCCACAGTGATATAAACATTTTTTTAAATGTATTTTGAAAAGGCCCCTAAACATTCTGGCGTTTATGTTGGCTTCATACTGTATGTATATAAATACCCATCCTGCTTTATCTGTCACTACTCTCATGAGAGGTATGGCACAGTCTTAAATTTAGGTCTCCAATCTTCCTATATACATATTTTTGTTTCAGACTTCTTTGAAGAATCAAAAGCAAGCTCGCTCTGGAAATGAAGGATGATTTGGGGTAGATTGAGGCAATAAATAAACTAAAAATACACTCTTTTTTTTATTTCAACCTCTTAAAAGTATACATCAATTTAGATATTAAGATAATAAACAATTACAATAGGTATACATCGTCATCTTAGAATGAATACCTCATATTTCTATGTAATTTTTTAGGATGAAGATAAAAATATGGTGTGAAGTATAGTAAATGCAATAATGTGTGTAGTTAGCATTTTAATTACTTAAATTATACCTCTTTTAGATACTATATTATTACATTATTAATTTTTATTCAACAAAAATCAGTAAAAACAAACTGAAAATGCATATGTGAGGCTTCACTGTAAAGGGACGATATGTTGTATAAAGTCAAGTGTTAAAAGAGATAAATTGTAACCTTGTAATATATTTTTATACAACTATACCTACATATTTTACCTATATCTGTAATTTTAATTTGATAATAACAACAGGAAATAAGACAAGAACTAATAAATATGATGTACATTGTAAAGCTTATTTTCTCACCGCCTTTTAATATCATCTCTTTCGGCATGCCTTTTAGGAAAGCTGCATATTTATTCATAATAACTGGTTTATTTGAAGCAGCTACTGCTTGTGCCTCTCTGACACTGGCTTGGGAAAGGGTGATAAGCACTTGCCAATGGGGGTCTAGTACGCCCCAGTTGTTAAAAACTATACGAGCTATTAAAATCTGTAACAAAATTAATAATGATTTACACAGTATAGAAATTTTGGTTATTATGCAAAACTGAGAACTTTCGGATTCCACTTAACCCTTACCTTTGTCTCCACATCCAATGCAACAGACCGTCCTTTAACGAGAATATGTAGGCATAGTTCTTCCACCAATCCTGAAATGAATTCCGTGGACAAACGGTATATCGTTTGCGGAATTTCTCCTCAGACATGTTAAATGTGATCGTCTTTCTATGCTTTTCTTTTATTTAAAGCCCGTTCTTAGGCCACATCCACCTCATAAACACTTTCCAAAACATTTAAGTAACCGTGGAACATCTTTTATATACGATAAACGTAGTGAAAAGTTACTCTCCATTAACTGCCACACAAACCTTAACCTTTCCAAGGTTACTCTATTCCCCCAAGGTTACATGTGAGGTTAAAACGTCAAAATATTTAGCGCGATACCAATTTGCAACATTTTAGGTTTTGGTTTTACGTTTGACAATTAGCGCGATACCAAATGTGCGTTACGTGTCACACGTCTAAGTTTTGGCTTAGGTTTTTGTTTTGACAGTTAGCGCGATACGAAATGTACACAACGTGTCAGATTGGCGAGGTTGGAGGTTTTGGTTAAACCTTTGACAATTAGCGCGATTGGCCCCCAGTAGTACTACTGGGAGTTTTCATCCCAATAAACTTACTAGTAAGATTACACGGAACTTTGTTCCTAGTAGACTTACCAGTAAAACAAAACAATATTATAATGTAGACCTGAGAAGTTGTTATTATGACCACACAATGACATATTATAAAACATTTTCCTTGACATCTTATCACATAATATCCATCAAAAGGCTCAAATGACTTGACTTTTTTATTGTCGATTTTTTTTATTCTAGTTCAGTATACTTATTAGATACGACGTCACGATAGGAGCATAAGGACATATTAGTCCTCGTGCTCCTACTAGGAGCACCCAGTAGGAGCATGAGGAAACAGGCACCAACTTGGGTAATCAACTTTGCTAAATTGGTTCCAGGAGTGGATTCAGTTGCTCTGGTACTCATAGTAATTTTAGTAATGGGAATTCTCTAATTTAGGATCAGGTAATTGGTGTGCTTGTCCGGTACATCATAAATTATTATACATACAAAAGAACACATTTATAATACACACAAATTGCAAATAAATACTGTGATCCATCAAAAGAGGAAAACAAAAGAAACCCGCACTGAACTTGTACTATCTTCGGTCAAGGCTTTTGTAAAATATAAATCAAACTATTGTTTTGACTCATCCCGTTTTATTTTTCCAATTAATATATATCAAACATATCAAAACATGTCAGTAACTTGTTATAGCTAAGCTACGTCATCTGGTAGAATCAAGCCTTGTTCAATCATCCGCTGTCTCTTAGCTTCTTCTCTGGCCTTCCTCTCTGCTTCTCGTCTCTCCATTTCAGCACGTTCTTCCATAGCCTTCTCCATAGCCATAGCAGCTAAAGTCTTTTGGTCTAACTTCCAGAAATTAATAGGTTCTTTAGTGAACTTCACATCCTTTTCGTTCATTCTTTCAATAAACTTAGGATAAGTGAGAATGCCCGTCTCAAAGACCAAAAGCTTTTCTTTCAAAGCAATTTTTGGTAAATCAACAAATTCGATGTCCGTTAAAGGCTCACCCCAGTTTTGGAGTTCTTCTCGTAGAACTTCAATGTCGACAAAACCTAGACGGTAAAATACGAGAAGAATAAAAAGACATAGCTTATTTGGCATAGCGTATGGCATGGTTTGTTAGAAGACGTCAGTTCGAATCCGGCCGGATCGAATGAATTTTTTCTAATTATAACAAACTAATGGAATAATTTCACAAAAAATAATTGAATATCAGTTCAATACAAATGAAATACAGTTACTAGCGACATCTTTTGCCAGGCCAGATAGCTGTAAAGTTACCTGTGTGACAAAATATTTTCATAGATTTCTCACAGATGGCGCTACGGCTAAAAGTCATTGAAAAACCAAATGCAAAAATCCAACAAACAAGCACATAGAAAAATTCGTGAGGTCCGCTGGTTCGTTCCGTGGCTTAGTTGGCATAGCGTCTGACACGGTTTGCTACAAGACGTCGCTTCGAATCCGGCCGGATCGAAGGAATTTTTTCTGAGTGTTCGATCTTTGTATTAATAATTATAACAAACTAGTGGAGTAATTACACAAAAAATAATTAAATATCAATTCAAAACAAATTTCAATAACAAGACGATAAAGAGCCTCCGTGGCCTATCGGTTACCATGCTAGACTACCACGCAGAGGTCCCGGTTTCGATTCCCGTTCCGGGAGAAATATTTATATGGCCTACATTTATATCTGACGTAAGTTTGGGTGTAATTTGTGGTTGTCACTGATAGGAGCACGAGGACTAATATGTCCTTAAGCTTCTACTGGTACGACCAAATGGATAAATATATCCTCGTCCTCCTGCACTATAATCTGTATTTATATATAATTGATATTATAATAATAATAATAACGCACACACATACGTCAACATAGCACTAGGGAAACCCTGTGTCGCGAGTGTCATGGACATACATATAGACAATCAAACGAACGCACTTTTGTATAATGCATTCAGTTTCGTGGTACGGCCGCTTGTACATTCTTTTGGCCAAATTTAACATTTAGTGATGTATACGTTTGGCAACACTGTCTCGATTCTGATCGAATTTGGAAACAAAGGGACGAATATTATTATGACCTTAGCAATATTATAAAAATATTCTAGAAGTCTTTTGTTATAACATTTAGTTTTTTTTTTTTCAGATTTGTAGTATCTATTGTCAGTAGTATCTGTAATTTCGATCATTTTTGCAGCACGTTGCCTCGATATGTCCGAATATAGTGAGCAAATAATTACACACATCGCCGGATATGTAGTACGAGTGATACAAAAATGATATAAAATGCTAAGAATTAACACAGTGCGCTGTCTTTACAAAAATCTGGAGTTGGTCATACGTATGAGTTCGTTGCTTTCGAGGACGAAGGTGGTCTAGTTTATCCCACTTAAGATGCTATCCAAATATGCAGAGTGGGAGAGTTAGAAATCCGAGAAATAATAAAGTATGAGTTCGTTGCTTTCGAGGACGAAGGTGGTCTAGTTTATCCCACTTAAGATGCTATCCAAATATGCAGAGTGGGAGAGTTAGAAATCCGAGAAATAATAAACAAATCACAAAAATTTCACACGGGGCCGTCATTAAGTAAACCTCTTCTGATTAATAAGATTTTAGAATATTTTGTCATCAGTAACATTTTCAATCAGAAATTGGTAGGTCAATGATCAGAAATGAGAAGACCCGTAGAAGAACAAAAGTCACCGACATAGCTCAAAGGTTAGCAAGTTGAAGTGGCAATGGGCAGGGCACTTAGCTCGTAGAACTGACAGCCGTCGGGGCAGAAAGATTCTTGAATGGAGACCACGAACCGGAAGGCGTTCAGTGGGACGGCCCCCTACTAGATGGATGGATAACCTGGTAAGGGCGGGTACCGATGAATGCACGTCGCGTCCGATCGGCTGGTCTGGAAATCTTTAGGGGAGGCCTATGTTCAACGGTGGACGTCTTCTGGCTGACATGATGATGATGATGAACATTTTCATTTGTCTTGAACAGTCGCAAGTTCATAATTATATGGACGTACGTTTTCATTGTTTAAGTTAATCGATACGATCTTCTATTACAAAAAGATGTTATATAATAAGCTCAATTTATTGGAAGGTCAATAAATTTAATATTTGAACTCGATTAAAAATTAAGATCTTATTTTTTTAAGTAATCAACATTTTTTTTATACAAGTAAAATAAAGGAGTTAACTATTTTATTATAGTATTTTTTTACTATATTAATATTACGACTATTTGTAATCAACAAATACTTGAACAAAAATTATTCTATTTAGAATCGATTAATTAAATGGAATACGCGTGTTTATGCGTATTCCGTTCAATCCGATTTAGGCGAGCAATAGAATGTTTCCATCACTAAATAGTTCTTGTGACGTCATAGTGGGTACAAAAAATGTGACACGCTAGGTTTTCATACAAATTGCTGTACTTGCGGCGTATATCTAGATATACGTCTGTGGACGGAACGAGCAAGTCGCCGCCTGATGATAAGCTACACACCTGTCCATAACAGTTACAGTGCCACTCAGAGCTTTAAATCGCAAA